AATCAGTGAGAAAAAAGACAAAGGGAGAGAGATAGAAAGACAGAGAGATGGAAAGACTGAGAGATGGAAAGACAGAGAGATGGAAAGACTGAGAGATGGAAAGACAGAGAGATGGAAAGGGGATGAAAGAAGACATAAAAAGAGGAAATCTAGAAAGAGTGACAAGGGCTTGGAAGAGGGAGATGGGATAGAAAGAAGGAGAGGGGCTAGGAAAAGGGAGAGAGGCTGAAGCGAGAGAGCAGACTTATGAAAGGGAGAGGGGCTAGGAAGAGGGAAAATGTTTATAAAGTATAAGGGGCTAGAAAGAAGGAGAGGGGCTAGAAAGAAGGAGAGGGGCTAGAAAGAAGGAGAGGATCTAGAAAGAAGGAGAGGGGCTAGAAAGAAGGAGAGGAGCTGGGGAAAGGGAGAGGAGATAGAAAGAGAGAGCAGACTTATGAAAGGGAGAGGGGCTAGGAAGAGGGGCTAGAAAGAGAGAGTGGACTCATGAAAGGGATTAGGGCTAGCAAGAACGAGAAGGGGCTAGAAAGAGAGAGAGCGGACTTATGAAAGGGAGAGGGGCTGGGAAGAAGGAGAAGGGCTAGGAAGAGGGAGCAGGCTTATGAGAGGGAGAGGGACTAGAAATATGGACAGGGGATATAAAAATGGAGAAGAGCTATAAAGTGGAAGAGGGGCTATAAAGAGGGAAAGAGACGAGAAATATCGAGATGGGCTAAAAATTGGGATCAGGTTAGAAAAAGGGAAAGGAGCTGGAAAGAGTGAAATGGGATTGAATGATGGAGGGAAGCTAAAAAGAGAAAGTGGAGCTAGAAAGAAAGAGAGGGGGGCCAGAAAGAGGGAGCGGACTAGAAAGAGGGAGCAACTAGAAAGAGGGAGCAACTAGAAAGAGGGAGCAGACTAGAAAGATAGAGATGGGCTATAAAGAAGGATGGCGAGGGGCTAAAGTGAGGGAGGGAGGGAGATAAGGAGGAGGGGGTATAGAGAGAATGCTGGAAAGAGATGCTGATACAATCACAATTTAAAACTATTCAGCCTGCTGAACCTCTTAAATGATTCAAGTAGTAAACACGCCCATGCCGATAATTTGAGATCTGCAAACATAATTTTACAGATTATACTAGACCAGTAAAATGGTTTTCAACCCCACCATGAATACCTCACAGTGATAATCTGCGGCCTTTACACTTGCTTAAACACCCACCACGTGAAGTCTGCACCCAGAACCTGCATCACATTCAGCAGTGGCTAATACACAGTTCCACCTTCTGTCTGTGTAATTCATAGGAAGCGGCGGGAGTGCAGCAATTATCTCACCTGGGGCTGTAAGTGGCCATAAACCAGGAGCAGGGAAGAGGAAGCTCACTAGCAGCCTTTTAGACAATGCACAATATATTATAGCGGCCTCGGAGTACAGCAAGAAACTACAGCAGCTGAAAATACTGCAAGCGAGAATTAAATATCATTAGCCCCATAAAAGTCTTGGCATTGCTCACTGAATATTGCAACTTTGCAAACCGTACAATCTGAAGGGCCAGTATTTCACTTATGCTTTACGGTAAGATGGTGATTACAGAAGAATCCTACCAAGCACCTTTTTCTACCAATATATTTCTATCTTTAGTTTATTTTTAGCCAAATAGATGCCTACACACCTTTATACTTATCCAGCATGACTGGAGCAAAGCCAGCTCCATAAGGATATGCTTGGACCAGTTTGGTGTGGAGGAACTTGAATGTCCTGCACAGAATCCTGGCCTCAACCCTACTGAACACCTTTGATTATGAGCCAGGTCTTTTTATCCAACATCAGTACCTGAGACAACAAATGGGCACAAATTTCCACAGACACACCCCAAATTCATGGAGAAAACCTTCCCAAAAGAGTGGGGCCTCCATAGCACCAAAGGAGGGTCACCTCCGTAGTAATCCCCATGACTATTGGATGTCCAACAAGCTAATATGGGTCTGACGGTCAACTTTTGGCCTCTATAGCACCAAAGGAGGGTCACCTCCATAGTAATCCCCATGACAATAGGATGTCCAACAAGCTTATATGGGTGTGACGGTCAACTTTTGGCCTCCATAGCACCAAAGGAGGGTCACCTCCATAGTAATCCCCATGAATATGGGATGTCCAACAAGCTAATATGGGTGTGACGGTCAACTTTAGGCGATATAGTGTAATTTAAAGGATGAGCAAACTTTGAACCAAAGCTCACTTGTCCTTTAAGCCCACCCTTACCGTTGCAGACTTTCTCCATTGACTTCTATGTTCTGAGGCCAGAATAAATCTAGGCGGCCTTGTAGAAGTCTATAGGAGGCTAATGCGGAGATGCGGCCAGTGCACAGAGATGAGTTCATCAGTCTGCTACTTCTCCTTTCACTGCCCAGTCACAGGCTGAGTGGGGAACAAGTATTACCGAAGTGCAGCACAGTAAAATCAGGTCTCTTGCCTGCTGGACAGGGCTCTGTGGTCTGGCGGAGCTGTATGAATTGGTAAAAACGGGATAGACAGGAAATCTTTTGACAACAAAATAATAAACTCTCTTATTTGTATAGCATTCGGGTTGTGTAGCTCTTTGCCTGGAGTTCATCTTATATCAAGACACGAATGGTCCTCATATTGAGTGGTACTTCTGTTGTGTACAAGCACTTACTTTAGATATCTCTAGAAACCCTTAAACTGGAAGCAACACTCTCATAAAAGTCACATTGTGTACGGCCGGACAAAGCAGAATAGGCAACAAAAGAAGTCAAATCAAAACAGAAATAAAGAAACCTCTTACCCTTCTCTTCAAAACCGTCCCTATTCTTTGTGTGTTACTTGTCTTGTGATCTTTGTGTCTGCTCTCTTTTCTGTCAGATCTGAATGGAGGCCTAAAATGTTTACCAATTCACTCAAACTGATATTTCAGTTCTAGGCAGCGGGCTGAGGTCATCTTCTGGCTTCTTACATGTCTAGGGTACTCCAAAAGTGAGATCTCTCGGTTATAGTTCCCAACTCTTACTCACCTGTTGTCCTTGCCAACCTCTGTGTGTTCCAGCTCCTGTTACATTCTTCTTTATATAAAATAAATAAACCCAACAGGGATGGAGGAAGCCCTTCATAATGGGCACAACAGCAGGTGTACAGACCCGGGAACCTAGCACAGGGATAGTGGGAGCCCCTTTTAATGGGCACAGCAGGTGTGCAGACCCAGAAACTCAGCACAGGGATGGAGGGAGCCCCTCATAATGGGCACAACAGGTACACAGACCCAGGAACCTAGCACAGGGATAGTGGGAGCCCCTTTTAATGGGCACAGCAGGTGTGCAGACCCGGGAATTGAGCACAGAGATCTCACCAGTAGAGAATCCAGATCTCACCAGTAGAGGGTTTTTGCTCTTCAGCTCCTACCATACTCTGAAATATCAGCCTCGGGTGAACTGATCCTTTAATACCAGCGGTGGGATTTTATAAATATTTGATGACCAACATTACAGTGTTAAATTTAGTAAACAAAACAAGAACATTTTATTTCAAATTATTTCATATTTAATTCATAGGGAGCGAGAACCTAAACGCAAAAACAAAAATGTAATACATTGCAGCTTACCTGTCCTTAGGTGTGGGGGATACATTAGTTTGGCTTTATTTTCACCTGCTGATCCTTCCAGTAACACCCTTCCGGTCCCTGGGTGACAACACTCATTCGCTGCACTGCATCCATGGAGGAGCATCCATTGTTGTCACCCTGGGACAGCTCTCCTGATTTGGGCTACAAACACCTGTCCCTCTTCTAAAACCCATTCCATGGAGAAGTGTGGCTTTGTAGGTCACAGAAGGAAAATGTTCACTGACTGCACTGTATCTATTAAGGAGCAGCTTTGCCACCCTGATTTGGACTTTAAAACCTCCTCTTCTCCTCATTACATTGGGGAGGATGGTGGTCTGTAAGTAACAGAAGATAGCTGGGATGGCTGTTTGTTCAGTACAGGAAATGACGAGGGCACGGCATTCCTGGTAGGATCAAGCCCTCATTCATGCTAGAAACGGCTGGCACGTACAGCTCCGTTCTGCGTGCACGGCCGCATCGGGCAGCTCCAGGGAAGGACAGGTGCTGCGTGTGATTAGTCCACAGCCCCTGTCCTTCTCTATGAGACTACGTGGCCATACGCTGCCCTACGCTCATCCGTGCGGGTGAGTGTACTTGTACGCTGACAGGATGGATCCTGTCTGCGTCCGAGCCAGGAAACACGCACCCGCACGGACCTGCACTTGATCACCTTGTAGGAGGGTGTATGGCCGTGTAGTCCCATAGAGAAGGAAGGGGGCTTCGTACTAATCACACGAAGCACCTGTCCTTCCCGTGAGCTGCCCGATATGGCCATGCACGCAGCACCTGTCCTATCCGTGAGCTGCCCAATATGGCCGTGGACGGAGCTGTACATGCGGGATGTTTCTAGTGTGAATGAGGGCCAACAGGTGTGCCCTGTACTTGGTGAAAATGGTCTTGGCCTGAGAAAAGAAAACTAAGGCAACTAATGCATCTATGGACTAGCAAGCTATATACAGTGTGAATATATCTATAGATATATATAGAGGCAATATATTACATTATAGATATATTGTAGCTTTTTGTTAATCAAATCAACACATCTAATTTTTGCTAATCGTCGATGTGTGTGGAATGACCGCTCGTCAATATTTTATTAAATCCCCCGGGTGGGGGGGGGGGGGGGGGGGGGTGGTGC